ACACGGAAATTTGGCACTGTTGTCACTCATTATCAAAAGAATACTTTCAGTGAAAATTACGAAGATCGGGTCGCTATAACCTATAGCCTCCATACAACTGATTGTTCAGATATGAGATTTTTTTCGATAACTTTTCCATTTATGCAGCTAAGAACATGAAAATTCGCGCCGTTTTCACTCATTGTTAACAGAATACTTATAGTGAAAATAACAAAGATCGGGTCACTATAACATATATCTCCCATACAACTGATTGTTCAGTTATGAGAATTTTCGTTATAACTCCTCCATTTATGCAGCTGGGAACATGACATTTCGCAATATTTCCACCCGTTATCAAAAAAATACTTACAGTGAAAATGGCGAAGATCGGGATCGGAAGATCCATACAACGGATTGTTCGGATTCGAGATTCTTTGTTATAACTTCTGCATATATACAGCTAGAAACATGAAATTTCGCAATATTTTCACTAATTACCAACAGAAAGTTTTACAGTAAAATTAACAAAGAGCAGGTCACTGTAACCTATTTATATCCTCCATACAACTGATTGTTCAGATATGGGGTTTTACTGTAAAACTCCTTTATTTGGACTGCTAAAACAGATAAATTTCGTAAGCTATTCTATAAATAATAATACAAAGTCTACTGAGAAAATCGTCAAAATCTATCATGTTCCTAGCTGCATAAATGGAGAAGTTATAACGAAAAATCTCATATCTGAAGCTACATGTTATAGTGATCCGATTCTTCCGGTTCCGACAAATGATTAATAAATTATAAAAATACACCCACCTACAAAATCTCATCCGGATATCTCGAAAACTGAGAGACTAGATTGCATACAAACAGACGGACAGACAGACAGACAGACGGACAGACGGACATGGCTAAATCGACTCAGCTCGGCGTTCTGATAATTTAAGTATACATTTTAATGGGCCTATCTCTTCTTATTCTGGTACTTACAAACATCGGACCAGAGTTATAATACCATTTCATGCTCATGAAAGGTATAAGAATGTCGTCTTCGTTTTCGTGACTGTTGAGCTCGTTGGGGTTTGTAAAATGTAGTCAATGCAAAACTTATTTGCCCTTTTATGTCCATACCTGCAATTAAAAAAAAAACAAATAGAGCATTTGCACAAGTGCTGTCAAATTAAATACACACCTTTGATCTAATCAAAATTTATATACACACACTTCACTTTGCATCGTTAAAAATTAAAATCTTCAAATTATCAAAAATATATAGATATGCATACATGCAGATTTTTTCATGTTAGCTGAGCCGAAGATACCTAAAAATATTCGTCAACTATATAGTATTATTAGAATACCATTCCCGCCATGTTCATTGCTTATTTAGTGCATTTTATTCTGGATACGAAAATATTTTTATACACATAAGTATGTATGATGTTTTGATTTGTCCAAAGTTTCGGTGCTTTTAGGAAAGTTGGCAGCCATGGCGTCTCACATTCGTGAGTACTCACTTATAATTGTTCTCTCATTCCGATCACACATACAGATGCAATTCGCGCAAAATTTTCTGTTTCCCCCCCGGGCATAATTACCTCAGCTCATCTACCCAACGGTTTGCACATCTGCCCAGGGTTTGCACGTTTGGGCATTTTGCCCGTATGTGCACATTATGCCCATCGCTACTGCAGAGCATAGGTGGCAATTTTTGCTCGCGAGCAACGCCAGCGCCGCAGTTCGTATATACGTATGCAAAAGCAAAGGAGCGAATTTCGATTCAGTCTGCTTGCAGATTTCGCCAAGGTTACGTTACGTTCGGCTGGTGATTGTTTTTATTCGTAATCTTAGCACACGCTTGCCATATTTTGTGTAGGAAATTTACAAAAAATGCCCAAAGCAAAAAGTGGTGGGTTGTTTTTAGATTGTTGTTTGCGTGCGTTTGCTACTATTTAAACACAAAATAGTGCGACTTTTACTACGTTTATACGCACAGAACTATCGACTTAATTGAAAGCGCATTGACACCGTACATATTTCGCTCTAGTGTTTATACTTACGGCTTTATATCGGCATCAAAGTAACCGTCTTCAAAAGCAAATAAAATCAGCTGTTAACATAATGGAAAGTGATAAAAATCTAGTTTTATTCGGCATTATAAAATCGAGGCAAAGAAAAAGAACGATTATTATTAATCAGCTTTTTAATACTGATGCGATTATTTGGAATTTGAGCGGAACAGCTGATCTCCAATTCGCTTTGAGTGAGAGCGGTGTTTATACACTCTTTCTAACTGTCTGGAAAAATAAACTACCGATTTAAAATGGAGTGTGAGCCAAAACACTTTGCTCTTTCAAAGCGAATTGAAATTCAGTTTATACATATGTTTTGAATCGCGGCGAAATGAATTAAAGCGACTTATGCATGCGTATAAACGTAGTATATATAAGAACTACAGTTTATAGTTCAAAGAACTGTCCATTATGCTGTTATTCCTACTAGAGATGGGCACGGGCCTAAATTTTCAGGCCCGGCCCGGCACGAGTGCAAAATCAACTTTCAAAAACACGCACAAGCCCGCACGTTAAGAATTTTAGTGGGGCCTGGCCCGGCACGACGGGACACGCCCCAGCCCGCAAATAAAGAGCCAACATTTATTGTAGATTTTTATAATATATTTTCTGGGAAGTAGAAAAAGTGGAAGGTATTTTATGTACAGATATGTATGTAAACAAAACTACTAAGTATCATATATTTTCTATCGGTTTCCAAATATTTCTTTTTTTGCTTTCCTCTTATCAAAAGAGTTTTAAATATGTACTTTTTTTTTGTATAAAAACACAAGCTCATCTAAATTTTTAGTATTAGCAACGGGCTTTTTCGTGCTTTTATGAAATTTTACTGAACGCCCAGGCCCGCACGAGTTCGTGCTGACAGCAAATATTCCGGCCCGTACCCGCGGGCTTACGCAGGGGCCCGTCGCGAAGGTGCTTCCAGGCCTCGCGGTGCACCTGGTCTCGCAAGATAATGTTTGAGATAACACTTTGTGCTGCTGCAGCCGCTTCATAGAGGCCATTAGAAAGAGTGTATGCGTGCCATACTAGATTCAATGCATCGTGCGTGCTGCTTGGCCTGTGGGTATGAGACCACTGTGGCCACAAAAGGAAAAAATACATAAAGATTTTTACATCAATTCATTTGAAAAAAAAAGAAAATAAATATTTTTACTACATTTCAAGTACATTCATACATATACATATACTTTTTTACATCAATTCATAAGATTTTGAGTTATATTATGACAGTCAAAGAAACATTAAACACAATAGTATTTTTCACACGCCACACATATCAGTGTAGTTTGGGGTGTTTTCCTGGAAGCCTGTTCTCTACCCGATTCTCCGGCTATTCTTTTATAGCATAATATACAGCGACGGCGCTGGTTCTGGCACGACCAATTCATCGTCATTTTTTTCAAATTTGAATAAGCTTTCAACAATTTTTTCCTTGAATTCCGTGATCCCTAGTTTTTCTTTCTATATTTCTTTATAAGCGATAAAAGCATTCACTAGGGCCGTTCCAGTTATTAGTTCTATAGCAAGTTTCCTGTACCATTTCATGCAACGGCGAAGACAGGTATTATAGGATTTCATTTGGTCAGATATGTCTATGTATGACCTGTATTTGTTATATTAGATTACATTTTTCGGTTTCAATACTTCTCGGTGTCTTTGTTTAACTTTAACCATTTCTTCTCCATATTTCGTACTTAGAACAAGAACGTCTCTTTTGTCTTCCCACTTTTGAACTACAATACCTTTCTTACATTCCATGGATATAGATTCTCCTACCTTCAGTTTTCTTCCATTGACTTCTTTTGGGTTAAATTTTCGGTTTGATCGCAGAGTACCAATCAAATGCGTTTCACGTTAACTGACTTGTAATAGTTGTCTGTACAAAGTGTACGACCTTGATCAAGAAGTTTTTCCATGAGATCCATTACGACTTTAGATGGTACGCTCACGTTTTCATCCTTCGACTTTCCGCAGTATACCTTGAAATCATAGGTATAGCCGTATTCCAAGCACAACTTGAATAGTTTAATTCCAAACTTGTGCCTTTTATTTGCAATATACTGACGGAACTTTAGTCTCCCGCGAAAAGGTACAAGCGTTTCATCGATGCAGACATATTCAGATGGAATAATAGGTTGCTGAAATGATTCCCGAAGTTTTTCTATCAATGGTGAAAGTTTCTGTAATCTATCTTCTGTCAGATTTTCATTATTGTTGAAATGCAGCATTTTAAGCAATACTTGAAAACGATTTCTCGAAATAATGCTGGGCAAGCAATTCGGATAAATCGTATTTTTCTTCCAATATGACTGCATTGAAGGAAATGGACATAATCCCATCCAGATTATTATGCCGAGAAGTTTTTCTATTTCATCACGATCCGTCGGTGTCCATTTTTGAATACGGGAATGTGGCAATGAGTCTTTCTGAACGCATTGTGAGGCATAACGGTTTGTTTCCAGTACCTAAACACATACAATTTCAGATATTGAGTATACATATTTACCTGGTTTCCAAGAAAGATAGCGATAACTTACAATTAGGTCCAAGATATCGTTATTTACAAATAATCTGAAGAAGTCAACTGCTTCTTTATTGTACAAACCGTATAGCCTACTTTGAAAGCCAGAAGACTCCTCAGTGAAAGAAAAAGTTTTCAATGCTTTTCCATCTGCAGGATACCATTCGTAGCTACCCCTTTCGTTTATAATTGGTCTGTTCGCTATATTTTCAGATAGGCTCACTTCTCCAATTTCTTCTTCGGAATCAGAAAAATGCAAATTTTCAATGACACTCGAAATCGTTTGATCAATCGAGTCTACTTCGCGTCTGTTTTTTTCGTGGAGGTGGTTCGCAACTTTCGCTAGAGTCGGAATCATTTGAGCTTGGTTGATATTCATCGGATGTACCATTATTTTCAAGCGGACCACTCTTTTCATTTTCCTCATCGGACATAAGTTCTTGCCATAAGGCTCGCAAACGTTCTTCGTTTTTTTCATAAGCGGACATTTTTTACTTCTTTCACCGACGCGCACTGAATCACTGACTAATTATTCACTCAAAAAATTTCAAACGGAAATAAACGCGGATTGTTGCAAGCTAAAACATGCTCAAGACGGCTCAAAGTGCATACAAGAATGTGTGGTGACACGTTGGTCTCATAAAAGCACATAAGTACCTATGGTCAATCTCCTGGCCCCGTGAGACCAATGTGTCACCGTATACAAAAATTAAGGGTATTTATCGAATATTGCATATATTTTGATAAAAATCGGATATTCTGAATTGTTGCACAATATTCTATTGTATTATGTGAAAAAAATTTTGTGGCCGGAGGTGCTCTATTTTTTTTGCTTGTATGGTGGCACTCAACGTGTTAAAGAATAATATTTATAAGTTATACTCTATATTTAGGACTAAATACTTTTTATTTTATTTCTTGCAATTTGTTTTTATCATTGTGCAAGTAAAGATTACATCTTAATGCACTAATGTTTTCAATATAATATTAAATTAAATTAAAAAAAAATAAAAAAAAAATACCTATTTATAAGAAAATAATAAAATCGAAACACCGTAACCATCTGGCCGGCCAGCATTTTAAAGAATTGATTCTAATAAAACGGTGCCTAGGTATTAAACAAATGAGCTTTACCAATTTAAATTTTTTTAAATTTTACAAGTACTAAATTTTTCGTATGTAAAAGTTTCTATAAACTAATAGTATTAGTTACTAAAATCTTCCACGATTCATTATTTCACTATACGTATAAGCAAAATAGGCCAAAAGACCCATGCACGAAAAATACCCCTTTAAGTACATTTATAAAAATGTGGCAATCATAACTGAGCGCGACGCACTATAGAAGGAGACAGTGTGTCCAGATTGTTCAAAAAAAACGCAATTTCTGAACAAAAAATCGCCAAAAATCGCCAAAATTCGCCAATTTTTTCTAATCAAATTCATGAAATCGATTTAACAAATATTTTATTTTAAAAATGAGATCTTGTTATAATATAGTTTTTAAAACCAAAAACCAATATAACACTTTCAGAGGGTAATAATAAATAACACAAATCAGTTTGATAATAGAGATGTACAAACTATTTTTTTTAAATACGCTTAGTTTTAAAAAATATTTGTTTGAACATATTTCGCAACAGTACTGCGCAATTATTAAACTTATTATAACTCATATTAATTGATTAATCGCACAATCCGCTTTTAATCGCTCGGCGCGAAAAATAAAGTAAAAACCTATAATAAGGCGAGATCAGCTATTTCTACAATTTTTTCAAAATCACCTATAGTGTATGAATCATTTACATTTCTGTTGTTATCATATGTTGAGCTATTCAACCGTGGTAACATACTTTCGATATTAGAAACGTTTTGCAGCAGAAACTATTAGCCTTCATATAACACTTTATTCGAACTATTGAATTAAGGCTTTCCAACCTCATCCTCTTTCGAATCTTAGTTTTTGTTGAATTCGTTACGGAAAAAACGGGCTCAACAAAAGCATGTGAGTGCGGCAAGGATAAAAATATGAAGGCTTCTTTACTTATATTTCGAAACATTTTATTGCCTGTTGCGGTTTTTACGCCGTAAGCAATTATCCAAAATTCTTCAGAGTCGGATGGAATGGTTCTGAAAAAAGTTATTCCATGGGAAAGTTAAAGATTTAGATATTAAGTTTCCGCTGCTTTTCTTTCCTTCAAAGTCAAATAGTGAATTGGCAGGTCCCTGAAACTCCCCTCTTGTGATTCACACACTTTTCTGGTGACAAAATCAAAGCTTTTTGAAAAGTATTTAATTGACTAGGTAATCGTTTCAAAAGTTCTTCGATTAGGGTGATTAAAAATTGTTGGCAGTTTAAAAACTTCTTAAGTCAAGTTTATCACGCAGTTCATTAGCCTCTTCTGTAAAATTATCGTGGAAACCTAAGTTTTGTATATTTTTATAATTTGAAAACATTTATTTTAATGGAAAAAATCGTTTTATTTTTTTTTGGGCCCTGACTGGCCTTAGGCGAGGCCCGTATTCTGATTGTTCCTCGAGACAGGGGAGGAATTGGGCAATACGAATAGGTAGTGCTGCAAGCCCCCCTGATTAGCCGTATCAGTTGCTGCAGCGAGATAAGCGACGCCTCGCCTCTAGGATCCGAGTATCATCGAGGTCCTCAAAAAACCAATGCTCATCTGAAAGAGCATCAAATTCTGCGTAAGAAAAACCACTGCTGTATTTTCCAAACAGTGGTGGAAAAGTCGCCCTCCTTGTACAGTCATTATACACTTTTGACCTCGCAAAAATTAATTCTCGAATTTTTTCTGGATATTATGCCCTCGGGGGGATCAGTCCCGGTGTAAATGGCAAGTGGCGACCAAATCCAGCGATTGCGCATGCCCGAATTTTGTTTTTTTTTCGAAAAAAAAAATGGTTTTCATTGAATAACTTGGCCATTTCTAATTTTTAAGAAAAATCATAAGAACAAAAGTTGTTGGAAATTCAATTCTATACAAGTCGGGTCCTAACAATTTTTCTTCTATAATTGATAGTTTTTGAAATAAACTTGAAACAAGCGGTAATCTCAAAATATTGCATTATACCTCGTTCATTTTCAAATCTACGGCATAAATAAGTAAGGTCAGACTTGAAGAAAATCAAATTTCCTACAACTTTGCCCTCACAATTTTTCTTCAAAAACCGATATTTTTGATAGGGACAAGTAACACAAATAATTGAAATACTGAGGAGTAAAAAAAATGATAATTTAAAAAAAAATACATTTAAAATAAAAGAATAAATTTGAAAAAAAAAATATGTGAAATGACAAAAGAAGATGAAAGAAAAATGAGTCGAATTTCATGAAATAATGTGTAAAAAAAATATTAAAAAATATACTTAAAAAAAAAACAAATTTAGTACAAAAAAATAAATTCATTAATGACGAAAATTTTTTAAACACATTGGAAGTATTCTGTCCTAAACACGAATATTTGTTTGGCTATTTATTTGGGACTACTACATTGTAAGACTGTAGCTGAGCTATTCACGAGGGCGGCATTATACCCAGTGTTGCCAGATGTCAGGATTTCGCCCCATTTTGGGGATTTATGAAACCATTTGGGGATAGATTTTTNATGATAATTTAAAAAAAAATACATTTAAAATAAAAGAATAAATTTGAAAAAAAAAATATGTGAAATGACAAAAGAAGATGAAAGAAAAATGAGTCGAATTTCATGAAATAATGTGTAAAAAAAATATTAAAAAATATACTTAAAAAAAAAACAAATTTAGTACAAAAAAATAAATTCATTAATGACGAAAATTTTTTAAACACATTGGAAGTATTCTGTCCTAAACACGAATATTTGTTTGGCTATTTATTTGGGACTACTACATTGTAAGACTGTAGCTGAGCTATTCACGAGGGCGGCATTATACCCAGTGTTGCCAGATGTCAGGATTTCGCCCCATTTTGGGGATTTATGAAACCATTTGGGGATAGAT